GCAATTGCACCACGATGTCTGACACAGCTAAGTCATGTCATTTGCACCAATGACATCTTGATGCCCATGTTGTTCTTTGCACCCTTCTTGCTCCTGTGAACGCCTGTGCTTGAGAATGCTCCATCCAAGAAGGTAGTAATCTTGGTTAGCCTTATGTCTCTCATTACTGACTCGGATTAATCTATTTTATAGAGTTATTCAGAGGAAAAGAGCATAATTCCATGGTACCAACCTGAGCCCTAGGACTGTGCAAAGCATTTGAAGAGAAGCTTTGCACCCCCCATCGTCAAAATGCTGAGATAGCCACAGCCTCTTAAAAGTTTGGGGCAGCTGCTTCAAGGGATTTCCTAAATCATCTAGGTGTTTTTATATGAGCATGCACAGCCCACACTTCTGCTAGGATTGCTGGTGAAGCATAGCTATGCCTGCACATACATACAGAGGTGAGCTGGAAAGGCCTCTGAAGCAATTGTGCCTACCTCTCTGGAAAGTGTGACTCCCTCAGAAGAATGTAAAGCTGAACCCAGGAAGGGGGACGGGAGCAATGATCCACTGAGAGAGAAGAAGAGATTACTCAGTCCCAGGAAAGTGTGAGAAATAAACTCAAAATAAACCTTTCTTGGTTTTGTTTGATATACAGTAAATGTGGTAGAGAGACAGTTTTCAAGATGTGCCAATTTGCTCTACAATAATAAAGAATATTCCTGAAATCACAGTTCCTCCTGTCTTGACCTTGCCTACCTCAAAGGGCTGTAACCCTTCAAGACAGGAGTTTCATTTTTGCCTTTGTGAAGTGCACAAGGCCCTTCTAAATGCTTTGCACGATTCTACTGAGCACTTGATGCTTGTGGCAAATGTTCATAAAATACATTGGGGAACTTGCTGCATTTGCTGTGTCCATTGGAAATCTTCTGTAAATGTTTAGTGGAGTTATGTATGTAGTGGTCTGAACTTGGCTGTGACATTAAGTCATGATCTCAGTCTAGAGATTCAGTGCATTAAGAATACAATGAAAACAAGGTTAATCCAAAAGAATCTAGCTCATTTGAAACTTGGAGTTTATAATCAAGCATATATAATATGCTAAAAAAAAAAATACAGAAACCTTAAACTGCTGCCTTGAACTCCGGAACAAAAACATGGGTTATAATCTAACAAATAAATAATTCTTTAAGCAATATGCCATCAGTTTTTTGGGGGAATAGCTGCTGAAGACAGCTTCACCATGGGCTTATGTTTCAGTCAATACTAATACTTACATTAAATCCATAACTTCAACTAGCATTTTGGGATATAAGAAACTGCATTAGGTATGTTAAAGAATTTAGCATTTTGAACTTTCTCTCTCTGAATAACAACTCCAATCACACATTGCTTTGGAGAATCCAAGCAGCTTAAAATATACTATATGTGTATGATAAATAGCAGGTATGTATGTACATGTTCCACTTCAAAAACAACCCCAACCCCCCATCTCTGTTTGGTTTATGAAACACTAAATCTTGTCTCTTACTTTCAACAAGTCCTTCAATAGAATAACCCATTGTTTAAATATAGTCAGGATAAAATTACAATCATATAGTTTCTGCTTACAATTTCATCAAGCATGAAAAGAGCTTGGTGAAAGACTCTTAAGTCAGAGTTTTTATTCTGACTAAGGATGTCTAAGGGTGTTTTGTCCATCTAACTTCATTCCAATAGGTCATTTTGCTTGTAGGAGCAACTATACTAACTGGCGTACAACCTTCCCTTGTTTATTTGATATTTATTCTTGTCCTATTATCTGTGATCAAACAGTGCTTCTTTGATCAATTCATGTGACTTGTTTTGAAAAATGTTCAAGAGACCTTATTTTGAAACTCCACCCTTTGAACTCATTTCACTAGGTTGGGTGAAAGAAATGGAGATTTTCCTTATAAAACAGAGAAAAATAAAGAAATGTATTTATCCTCTGCTGTTCTAATAAAGCTACATCAGGCTATACCACACAATTTTAGGCCAATTACATTTGCCATCTCTCATATGCGATGAACAGCTTCTGTTATTTTTTTTAACTGTTTCTATACTTTAAAGAATTACACAGAGTGATACTTCTTGGAAATCTTTCAGTCCTTGTTCAGTCTTCCACACTCTCACTGGAACTTGATGTTCTGCTGCACTGCTTATAACTCCCAAATGTTAATCCACTTTTTCACAAAATGAGTAATTGTGCACGGAAGGATAGCCTTCAATAGCTCTATTTGCCCCTCCCCCCACACCCAAAAAAGTATTCTCTCTCTTTAATGAACAGAAAGTCAGTATAATGAATTCTCAGATGCAATAAGAAAAAAACATATAGTAGCTCTGATTATGATCTATGACATTTGGCTTTGCAGTATTAATATATTGCACAAACTCTGGATTTTTCCTTGTTTCAGAAAACCAAATAATAAAACATATGGAAGAGAGGGGAAGTCTGTTGTATACAACTTCAAAATAGATTTCATTCTCTTTCTTCATTGTACTGTGCTAGAATATTGGACTATCACTGGTTGGAAGCCAGTTCTTCATCATGTATGTCAACTCATACAGTACAAGGAGAAATGGAACAAGATGGCGGTTACAGTGGCAAGATGCAAATTTATTCGGGCAAAAGTAATAGATGCACAATATCAAGCATGCTCAGGTATGTGCCAAGAAAACGGTTACGGATGAGAAATGGATGGGATGAGTTTTTGCATCATACATGATTACGTTTCTCTGAACTTCATAAAAAGAGTCCTTTTGTTCTAAGCAGGATTTCTTAGCTGCTGCTAAGAAAAAAAGACAGATCGCGCTGCTGGAGTAAAAATATCCGGGCCCAAACAATAACATACATCACAGCAGCCGTCTCCAGAGGAACACTATATTCCTTTTGAAAAAAGAAAAATCAGTAAAAGAATTAGTTTGGGGGTGGGGTAGTGACAGAGACAATGTAACTGCAGGTACCCATTTGGAAAGGAAGGAAACATTTCATTATATTTTTAAGTAAAACGGTTTGTGCTTCCTACTTCATTTTACTCAGTTTGGCTTTTTTTTTTTTAAAGCGTATGAATAATGTTGCCACTGTTTTTATTTTTTCATCAGTTCTTTTTCTCCTATGTCCCTGCCTGAAGCCAAAAAGCAGTAGAGCTGATTTCTCCCCCTAAAAATGCAACTGAAAAGTGACTGGGGGGAAGGGGGACAGACAGAGAGGGGGGAAAAAAAAAAAAGAGAGAATAAGTTTTTGACCGGTATTCTCTGCAGTAGATCATTATGAGGCAAAAGAGGATCCCACTGAGAAGAATCAGCAACTTTTTTTTAAACGTTATTTTAACTAGGGGGGTGAACAGAACACACTACTGAATTGGGATCGTGTAAAAACACAAGGAAGGAGAAGAGAAAAAAAATGAATGTTTAATTCATGAGTAAAACAAAACGATGCCATGAATGCCACAGAAATGGATGTTGCTGAATGGCCTTTGTACAGCAGAGGTAGATCAAGGTTTATAACAAACTGTTTACTGACCATTTACATTTTAAGATCAGAAAAAGTGGTCAGTTGAACAAGAGCACACCTGAGGGTTTTCTCACTCGTACGACTCTCGCTCCAACCCTCCAGCGCTGTGGCTCTGTGCAGATCTTGCTGCAAGGGATCCCATTTGCTTTGAAGTCTACATGTCATCGTTGAATAAAGCTTTCCCTCTCCCCACCCTGCCTATTTTCAGAGCATTCCCGTAACATTTATCAGAAAACGTGCTCATCCAGGGAAAAAAAACAAAACAACCCAGAACGGATGGTGATTTATGCCACGTAGATACCTATGTGTGTACACACGCAGTGGGAAGGAGGTAAAAAGTAAGAAAAGAAACCGAAGCTGAAGAATTCTGCATTTACGTGCCGTTTTTTGTTTTGTTTTGTATTTGCACAGGTCATTTTAAGATCCTCATTCTCAGTCATAGCAAAACACTATCAAAACAAGAAGTCTTGCAAAATAGTTGAGCTTGTACATCTTAACAAATGCATTAGTTTAATCTGCTAAAGCAGTAGGGTTGTTTCTCTGGGTGGGTGGTGGTGGTGGTGGTGGGGTTTGTTTTTGTTTTTTGCAGAACTTCACAAATCATAAAACATGAATGAAAATGCATATCAACACTGCAGTGAGGAACAGAAACATTTCTTGAAAGGGGCAAGGAAAGAGGTTTTTTTAATGCAGGAAGGAAGAGAATATTTTCTATCTTTTTTCCTTCATCTCTCAGCTACACAGGAAACAGCTCCGAAGTGCACTTTCCAAGTGTAGTTAGAGAACAGGAAGGAATGAAAAGTTTTTTTGTTTGTTTGTTTTTAAAAAAACAGCCCTTATTAACTTTTCCTTCCATTTATTCTAGTGTAAACTCTAAAAAGCCATTTTAAAAAGCAAGATCCCATCCACTCGGCAGGTGATACAGTCCTATAAAAAGAGCAGTGAAAAAGGCAATTGGATTATCCTTTCTGTCCCATCAATCCCTCACAATACTGGACTACTCATAGCCCAGCATCTTAAATTTTATTGCACACTCATGAAAATAGTTTATCAATCCTTAAAAAAGAAAAATGTATTTTTTTCCAGCTGCACTAACATCTTTTGAACTCCTCCCCAGCCTACCTTACTTCCAAGGCTATCTTGAAGGATGCGGAGCACTTGATGAGCAGAAACTACTTCACATGCTGCAGGAAAGAATCATATGAGCATAACACACAAGTGTACATTCATTTTAAAATAGTCATCTGGTTGGTTGGGCAAGTGATTCCAAAAGAGATGTACCCCAATATTTATGCTCAGAGTATGTACACTCACATGCAATGACCATATTACCTCTGCTTGACTGGAAATTAGTGTTCCCCAGACCCTTCGTGACATCTCTAGATATCCTCAGAATCAAACAGTTGCAGAAATAAATCATTGTTGTTTTCTTTTTTTCTTAAACCTCTTGGCTTTTATAGATTGTATTACCATGTGGTACATAGGTGACAACAGAGGAATGAAAATCGTAATTCACAATGAATGCCAAACTTTTACTACCACTGTGAAGGCCTCCCCTCTAGTCACCTTGCTCAGCTCTTAGCTTGGTTTTACACACGGTGCTCTAAATCAGGCTGCTCCTGTTCAACTGACCAGTGAGAAAGGACTAGACTTTTTTGAAAATGGGTCTTGGAGCAACAGTTTGTTATAGAGTTCTTTATATTAAAGTTTCATTGTCAGATCCCACTTTCAAGGAGAGCACCCGTTTATTGTGCTCTCTCCCCCCCCCCTTACTTTGGGTTTCTCCAGCCAGATGACTTGTGTAACAGTGGCAGAGGTGCGTTGGACCGCGCACCCATTCATTGTGATTACACCGAAGGAAAGCAAGCAGGAATGGTTTGCTCTGGGGCACTGAAGCAGGGGGAAAATATAATGGGAAAAAGAGAACTGGTTTTGTGGAGAGGAGGGCTGGGAGGGGGGGCTGGTTTTCATTATTTTTTTAAAAAAAATCTTTTGCCATGGAACCACAGCAGTTCTTTCTTCTAATAGAAACTGACAAGACATAAAAGACAGAACTATTTGATGAACACACACAATGACTAGAAATAGATAAGACAGTGAAAAGACTTAGTTTAGCTCTGAGAAACTGTCTGAAAAATAAAATCCTGTATTAACAAGTGCAAAACAAACCAAAAAAAGAAACTCCAAACATTAAAACACAGTGTATAAAATGGTGTGAGAAATTTAAGTCACCAGACAGCCTTTTAGTCAATAAAAAGCTGGATAGGATGTGTCCTTGTTTGGATCGTGGCCCATCTATTGAATTTTACTCAGAAGGCCTTTGGAGGAGTGGACAGAGGGCAAAAAGGTCCCATCGTTTGGGTCTGACTGCAGTATGCATGGGCCTGCTGTGTGCCTGTGGGAGGAGATGGATCAGGTCTCTTATTCCTCACTGGTTGAATTATCTTCCAAATTTGTGATGCCTCCAAAGCCCAGTTCTGTTGAGTTCTGTGCTGCTGAGACAGTGAGTACTGTATGTAAGAGAATTAATACAAGAACACACAGTTTAAGTCTGCTGTTACACAGTCTTGATGCTGATGAAACTGTGAGTGATGTCCGGTGACACATCATTGAGTCACTTGTTTTTATAGTCCCTTTGGATTGGTTATCGGATAAGAGTCCCCATCTGACATCACAGCATTCTGGTTCTGCATTGGTTGGATAATTGTCATAGAGCCCTGCAAGAGAGGAAAAGAGCAGCATATTAACAGTCTTTAAAAAAAAGAAAATAAAAGAAAGAAAGATGGTAAGGAATGTCTGAATGGACCCATATACCCTGCCCAGTAGTCAGATATAATGTCTCACTTTAAATATTTAGCATATATGGCTATGATTGCATTGCTGTTCTTATGTTAGAAGTCATTCCAGGCACCCTAAATGGAAAAGCAGCATGTGCTAATGCTAATACTAATTAATGGCAATAATAACAACAACCACTCATTATCAAATGCTTATCAAAAGCTGCTGTGTTAATCTGAGCCTATCTAACGAGTTTTGTTCTGTACTAAGCATTATTTGAAAATTAGTCTTTTTTCCCATAGATTTGGGACTTAAATATGTCTTAATTTCCAAACCATTACAGAAGGTTTTCAGAGAGAGCAACAGTCTCAGCAGCATCTAAAATGTACCTGAAATGTCATGAAGAACCCAAGCTATAGCTGTAGCTCCACTTCCAAATATGTCATTATCGTGAAAGAAAATTAGTTCATAAATCATTCTCCATAGAGTTTGCCTCCCTTAACTAATTGCAGAGTGTCCTCTAGCTCTTGTGGCTACATATAACAGCCCTTGTAAAAAAAACTTCCTATATTCTCTTCCTGGCATCTTCCAGAGATCCTGGACATCAGCTCCCCAAATTCCCCATCAGAAATGAATGAAGAGAAGAAATTCAGAAATAGTCCCCAAAACCATAAACATCTACCAAGCTTTATGAAACTTATTTATGGGCACTTGGAACAATTTAGAGTGAAATCAGATAAAAAGGTTGTCCTTGAACACACTCCCCAATGCTGTGATTTTTATGATTTCCTTTCTTGCCTCACCATACTATTACGAAACAACTTTAATTACCTTCACTTTGAAGGATCTTATGTTTGGTGAGTCAGAGATTCATATTACAAAGTTCTTTTATAATAGGGTCAGTCCAGATTACTTTGCTTAAGCACTGTGGCAATTGGAGACCTTGAGTTCCAACTTGAGGGCTTCTCAGTCACAATTCAAACCTAATTCATTGTACATGAAATGTTTGTTGTTTTCCACTAGATGTCCCCAGTCACCTGTTGTAAACTGCAAAATATAGCTGCGATAAGCCATGCATAGTTCCCAGTATTTAAAGCATAAAAATGAAATCTCCATAATGTTTTGTACGTCTTACAAGTTGAATAATGCTGATTGGCTTTAAGGAACACGTGACCCCTATGTTTTGCTGTTTACTGTCTTGATTCAGGAAGCCGCTTTAATTTGAAACATAGTACTGGGTCTATTTAAGTCAAGATTCTGCAAACATTTCTCAGGAAAGAGGCTGTCACCTCTTGGCTTATGGTTGCTGCTGCTGCTGCTTCTTCTTCTTCTTCTTCTTCTTCTTCTTCTTCTTCTTCTTCTTCTTCTTCTTCTTCT